TTCAACCAGGTTTATCTCAAACTGGTTTCAGCTATTTTCAAACTGGTTTATGTGCACTGAACGTCTTTCCTGTTACAGGTTTAAATCAGTTTCTGATCTGTGAGTCAAATTGCCCTGACTTTTAGATGTTCGGTGATAGATCTTAAAGCAGCCATAGGAACCCTCTGAAAATCAGATGGATAGAAAAGGATATTCTATCTGGACACCCAGAAGTGAAGCATCCCTAATTGCAAGTGACTTTTCGCAATCTTTACTGAGATTTGACTTTTTCCCCCTTGCTGTTTAAAGAAGCATCTTCTTGAGAAGCAAATGGAGTGCCCAGTTTCTCAGCCTTTTATTTCTTTTTCTAGCATCCCACCTATTTCTGAGCATGAAGCCAGAGAAGCTTTCCTAGAGTATGCAGCCAGCAAGTGCTGCTATAGGACTGCCCCTGCAAAACACATGGTGGTCCAGAACCTGACAGCATGCAACACATACAGAGTGAGTACAGTAGCAGGCAAAACTGCATGGCAGGTTTATTTCTGGTCCTGCTGCATTAGCTTATGGCTTCAGACACACATCACAGATATAAAGTGAAGCTGTGGGAGATATTCACAGTAGTATTTCATAGATAGGCCCCACCTTGCAATTTTTCCCATTAAAATGGGCCCTTTTCAGCTAAGGTGGGCCCTTTTAAAAACGGTTTGTTCTGATAGAGAGTGATTTCTTCAGAGGAACTGAGGCAAATGAAGCAAAAACCTCTGCAGTGCAGTCCAGAAAAGGATTTTTCCCCCTTCACTGTAAAGCTGGCCAGAAGAACATTAGAGATTTCTTCAGGTTGGACAGGTGAGGTGAGGGCATTTCCCTAAGTGTTGAGGTCAAATATCAGTGATCAAAGTTGTTAGGTGATTTTTCCTTGTGCAAATGAAGCAGTTTCTGGTACAGGTCTTCACCAGGTCTTGAGCCCTGGACATCCTGCCCTGAAACATGGGTGTCTCTCAGTGGTGCTAAACAACCAGTTTCCATGGAGTGAAGCATTACTGCTAGCTTGAGGAACCCCCAGGGTTTGTCTGTACTGCCCCCCTGCTAGACCCAGAAGCATCACTGTGAAGCACGTCTTTCCCACCCCCTCCCTTTCTGTGTGACCCAGTCCCTAAAAATCAGTGGAGCCATCTTAGAGGGTGCACACTGCCACTCCTAGGTTTTCAGGTGTGCTCACTGGCATACACTCAGGACCATGCTACTTTGCTTTGCATCCAGGGTTCAGCACACATAAGCATGAGGAAGTAGGAGACCTGTGTTTCATGATGATGTTTGTGGGAGGGAGGTGGTGTAGACACTCATGCTCTGGTGGTTATGCTAGTATTTCTCTATATCAGGACTTCTTGGGCAGTCGGCCAGGACACAGCCTTACGCTCCACAGTTCAGTCATCTGTGATTTTCCTTGTTCTACTCTTCTGTCCAATTCATGTCCCTGAGACCAGGACTGTGGTTTTTATGTTTGCTTGGGAGCAAATCCTACTGTCACCAAAGTCAATGGAGGTTTTGGCACTGACTTCAGTGGGACCAGGATTAACCTCCTCACAGTGAATAAAAAGCACTTTTTCATTCAAGTTGACTCTGGTTTGCTTTTATCAGTATCGTCTGAAAACCTTCACTGAAAACAGAGAAACGTATCCAGCCAGCGAACCATATAATGGTAAGCAAATCATAGCTCTTACCTAGCAGAGACCAGATACAACATGATGTAGTGTTTTTGGGAGTTACTGTGTCATTGGACTTACAGGCTTTATGAATGATCTTGTGCAGCGTGCATGAACCAACTCAGTGATCAGCCTGAAAAAGAGAAGACTGAGAGGGGTCTTGGTAGCAGCTTACTGCTACATCAGGGGCGTACATCTAGGGCTCGGTGAACAACTGTTCACCAGGACACCCTTGGGGATAACCAGGAGTAATGGCCATAAACTCCTGGAAGACCATTTCAAGCTTAACATTAGGAAAAGCTTCTTCATGGTCAGGGTGTACAGACTGTGGAATATGCTCCCTCCAGAGGTGGTGCAATCACCTACCCTGGAGATCTCCAAGAGGAGACTGGACAGTCACCTCGCTGGGGTCCCCTGATCCCAGTTGACTTTCCTGCCTGGTACAGGGAGCTGGACCCAATGATCTTCTGAGGTCCCTTCCAGCCTCGCAATCTGTGACTCTATGATATGCGGCTGAAAATGTCAAAAGGTGCTACTGGTATCAAGTACCCCAATTTCCAAAATGAAACCTGAGGTCTAATTTCAGAAGTGCAATGGTTATGTTGCTCCTATTGGTTTACACTGAAACAAGTCCCCACAGAAAAGGAGAAAGGAGTGAGGAAAATGGTATGGGAGGGTGAATGTGTCATGGGTGCTGGCCAACCTCTTTTGCAGTTCACCCTTATTTTCTATTTTTTTGGGCCGTCTTGCTCTAGGCTTGGTTCACGGTTGTTGATGTGGGCTGCCTTTGAATGGGCTGCAGATTAGGCCTTATGATTTTTCACAAAGTCATGGGCAATAGCTTGGTTAGGGAACTTTTCCCACCATCTACTGCAGTTGCCTTTCATAATAAAAGGAAATAGCATGATGTTTTTTAATTTCAGACGGATGCTCTTTAACACTATAGAAAGCGGCTTGGTAGAGTCATTGTGCCTGATATAGAATTAACTTCCCCATTGGTTCAAGTGGTCTGAAGCTTTTTCTCTTTGACCTTAGAGCCACGTGGATTGTAACATCCTTCTGGCTTTGGGAAAGAAATCATGGGGGTAGGGAGTGGAGCGCGGAGGAAGCTGTTTAAATCTCAGGGGTGTGGACACAGTGTAAAAAGGGAGACACGGATTGGATTAGTTAAGTTTATGTAGCCTTATATGGTTATAAACATAGGCTTTACTGGGCAGGATCTTTGGCCCATGAAGCATAGTGACCTTGGCTGTGGGTTAGCTGAAGGAAAGTGCAAGGAGCTTGCTGCAGGAGGGTGAGTCACAATTCACAAAAATTGTTCAAAATGGGGAGGAGGCGGACCCCGCATCAGTCTGAGAGATTGCCATTAGTAAGGCTGGAAGAGACTGCGATATCCTTGCAGATGGTGCAGACTCCATAGGCCTCTCTTGCACCAGAGACTGGAGGGAGAGTTTGTCTCCTATGGCTGCCTCTATGGTGCTGTAGTTTTGCCATGTTTGTGGCCAAAGTAGGCTTGAGTCCAGGACAGATCAGCCATGCTCCATAATCCTTCCCAGCTGATCAGTGATTAACTGGCTTCCTTGAGGCATTTAGTGAGTCTCAGTACAAATTCATAGATGGTTAGGGGCTGGAGGGGACCTTGCAGATCATCGGGTCCACCCCCCCCTTGCCCGCTCTAGACAACTGGGGTTAGGTGACCCCAGCGAGGTGGCTATCCAGTCTCCTCTTCAAAACCTTCATGGCAAGTGACTGCATCACCTCTGGAGGGAGTTTATTCCATAGTCTGGACACCCTGACTGAAGGAGTTTTTCCTGGGATTGAGCCTGAAGTGGCCTTCCAGGAGTTTGTATCCATTGGTCATGGTCTTCCCTGGGGGTGCCCTAGTGAACAGTTGTTCACTGAGCTCCTGATAGCATGATGGTGTTAGGCTCTGATACTGCACAACTGAAGTCAGTGGGAGCTCTGCCACTAACTTAGAGTTCATAGACAAGTATGACTGGAAGGGACCTCAAGAAATCATCTAGTTGAACTGGGGATTGAACCTGCAACCTCGGTGTTAATAGCACTAGGCTATAACCAATAAGATCAAGCTATTAGAATGAACACAGATCCTAGGGATTTCTGTTGTTATCTCAGAAATCACAGGTCCTAACTAGCACCACTCATCCCTATGAAGATTTCCTGCAGAACAGGAGCAGGGTGGCGAGGGGGATGGGACATATGGAAGAGATCAAATGTTAGTGACTAAGGTGCATCTTTTTTGTGGATAAGCGTATGACAGCCATTGACTGGGCACACTTCTACTGCACTGATATATGCATTGTGTTAAAAGGCAGGTCAGGTGGTGATGTTTTTGCCTGTGCCATGCTATCCTGAAGCTTTACAACCTGCCACACTAACTCCTGACTGCCTTTTCTTTCTTTTGCTTTAGGTGGCTTTGTGGACTCTCCTGAGGTCGCAGAACCCCCCGCCCCTTGGGAAATAGAAGTGGATGCACCTCCCCTGTTTACGGACTGTGAAATGCATTTCCCGGTGCCTCACACCTATTCAGTACAGGTAACCCCAGCTTTTCTTGTCCCAGACATGAGAGTCTTTTAAAGTAATATTACTTATTTCACAAAGGCATCTTGTAGAAGATTCATTTGAAATCAGCTCTGCGTTGTGCATGGTACATATTAAGAACCCACCCACATCTTGAAAAACCTTGCAATCAAAATTCAGACAAAGGGTGAGAGAAGTGAGATATTATCCCCATTTTACAGATAGGAAGCCAAATGCCATAGAGATAAGCAGTCATCCCAAGGGAGTTCTCTGATCCCAGCCATAGCTGCTGTACCTTGTAACCTCTTTCAACAGCAGCATCAAATTCAAGGTTCTGGCTCCTTCTCGTGGCTTGATCTTATTGGTTATAGCCTAGTGCTAATAACACCGAGGTTACAAGTTCAATCCCCAGTTCAACTAGATGGTCTCTTGCGGTCCCTTCCAGCTGTACTCGTCTATGAACTCTAAGTTAGTGGCAAACCTCCCACTGACTTCAGCTGTGCAGTATCAGAGCCAAACAGCATCGTGCTGTCCAAAATGCAGAAGACTGGATTATGTATTAATTTTAAAATCACTTTTCTATAATATTTCTGTAATTTTGTTTGCGATGTCTTTGCAAATGCATATAGTTTGGCACAATTATTTTAACTGTTTGAAACAGCCATTCTGGGACATTATATTTATTGCTTCTTCCCATCAAGGCTTAGGATAAGAGAAGATAACTCTGGATTCTGGCAGAGAGCATTGTTTTTGCTGCTCAAAATAATGAGATAGTATTTTAATAGCTTTAGATAGAGGATTAGCACTTGTTTTTGGCAAGGAGTTGTTTATGCTGCTTGAAATAGTCTGGAGTATGCATTTCAAATGGGAAGGCTGCCATGTAAAAGGATTTGTATCCACCCAAAAGAACAAAGCACGACTATTTTTACTTCTGAAATAAAACAAACAATCCAGGCTGAACAATCAACCCAACTGTTTCTTATGCACATGCAATAACGTAGTAAAGAAAGTATACATCCAGCTTTTACACATTTATCAACTAGACTCCTGTATGGAAAGGAGCCGAAACTCTTTGGGTGCATATTTCAGTGTGAAGATGACACAATCTTTTTATTCTTTCTGCTTCTGGTGCTGTAAGCATTTAATTTCATGACTGAATCTTGGGCCATGCTAGGGATTGTAGCTTTCTTTAACAGTGGGCTGACAGCATAAAGGAAAATTAGACTGAAGTAAGTATGTTGGCTTGTAGGGTGTAAAACCAATAGGCATGACTGCCAGCAAAAAGAGAAAGGTGCTGCCTTTTTTCTTTTAACGCAGTGTAGCAGTTTGCTAGCAGCCCTGTGCTTATACTGTTTGCTTTGATTTCAGAGTTGTCCTAAGTGTCATGGAACTGGTAAAGCCCAGTGCACCCGATGTACTGGATCAGGAAAGGTATGATATGTTATAAAATCTCTAATGAGTATTTTATGTACAGAATAAAGAAAGCACTTACATTTCTTTAAAACAATGCTTTGAAAAGGGCATAAAAGCCAGTCGGCCCATACTTTCCTACTCCTTTGTTTTTCTGAGTTCTTGATGAGCAAATGTCATCAAGATATCAGAGAGAAACAGGCGCAGCTAGGAGCTTGTGTCAATTATGTGTATATAATACATTCAGTTTGCATTGGTCTTCCTTCCAGATGTATGGAAGAGATAAAGTCAGGTCTTAATGATTTACTGAGGAAACAGGTGTCTTCTGCTTTCAAAAGAGAGGCAGCTCCTCCAAGTTTTTGACAAATCTCTCAATGAGAAAAGAAAAGGTCAGAAAGGAGTCATAATTTGTTATATGACATCTAAAGAATAGAAGGTTGTGGGCCCGATGCAGAGTCCATTAATATGAATGCACATCTTTCTTTCAGTGGGAGGTGAATCTGCCCCTGTGTTACAGGAGGAAAAAAAAAGCCTGGTTGTGTATATACTACTAAATTTAAATGCAGACCTTTTTGTTAATAAAGAAGGGATTAAATATAGCCCCTGTGCAACTGGTTTCAAGTCAGTACCTAAGGAAATGATAAGAGCTGGAAGACGCCACAAAAATGGTATTTTAATAAAGTTAGTGTAACCCAGAGCATTTGAGGAGGTTTCAGGACAGAAGTTGAACGCTGTACCTGTCACCTTGTATGTAGCCATGCATATTATCTGAACAGATAAAAAGGGAGTTGGGGGGAGGAGGAGAAATACCAGCATCAAATTACAGTGGTCGGTGACAAGGATCTAGAAGACGGCAGCTAAAGTGTCCTTAAGCCGATGCACGATTGTGGTATTAAGGACTTAATAGCAGTTAATAAAGAAGAAAAATCCCCATTTGATTGTAAATACTCTTCTGGTATTTCACTGTTTGGTGGCTAGTCTGCCTGTCTACAGCCACTGCAGACTCTAGCATGTTCTTCCAGGTTTTCCATGTAGATTCAGGATGTGAAGTCTGTAAAATAATTGGCTAGAACCTCTGTGCTGTGGCATCCTGCTGTTAATGAGAACCAGCAGGGCATTTGTCAGTGGTACAAAGTTGCTCCTCTCTCTAGGTCAGTCGGTGTTAAAGTAGAACAACACAGGAGTACCTCTTGTGATTGCAGTTCAAGCTGGCAAAGGACTGGATGCTCCAAAGGATGCAATGAAAGAGATGCAAGGATGCAACTTATGGGAGAAAAAACATGGTCTGTGGGTGATAAGGGCTACTTACGTCAGCAGTGACTCAGAGGCATGGGCCCCCTCGATAATTTCCTAAGAAGGAAGAAAGAATAGATGTGGAAGGAATTCTTGCCTTCTGTTCGTAGGCCTAATTCTGGAATTTGTAGCTGTTAGTTTCTCACGTGCACGTGAGCCCTGCAAATGTGGATGGATTCTGCTTCCAACTTTAGATGCAGATACCAAGTTATAAATATGAGCTAAGATACAGAACAGAAAGATGATCGCAGAGCAGTGTGGACCAAAGACATCATAATGCAGCTAAATCATGATTTTTGTGCTGTATGGTTTAAACCGATGGATTCATAAACTTGTTCTACAGTGATGTAACTGGAGTTGTGTCACAGCAAGCTGCAGTATTAAGTCTTCTACAATTGGATAGTGTATATGGGGGCATTACTGTGCATTAGGGTAACAGTCATCTATATATAACAGGCCAACCTGCAGCACTTAATTTCATGTGGGCCCCCCAAAATAAGAGTGATGTGGGACTAAACTGCACGCGGGTTTTCTGCACAGGGATGAGTTCACTACATTATTGTTGCACAGCTATGTATGCATAGTATATAAATAGATATAAGCTTAAATAAAAGAGTGCACTGTCCTGCTAGACCATCCCCATTCTGATCCTTCTGCGTACTGTTATTATGGAGAACGTGGACCAAAAGAACAGAAAAGCAAATTGTTAGAAAGTGCCCTTTTCTGATTCCCTCCCTCTCTTGTTTAACTGTAGGTTTCTTGCTCATCTTGTAACGGGTCAGGCTGGCAATCTGTTAGTACTACCTCCGATACTAGTTCTGGATTTTGCACATTCTGTGGAGGGGTGGGACGCACACGGTAAGAAAAAGCTAAATCGTGAGGTGGCAACCTGTATTTCTTTGTGCACTCGGTTTACCAGATGTCTCTTTATTGTTCCTCTTTAACAGTAGGGATAGGCGCCAATTGAAAAAAAGAGCCAAACTAAATGGTAGATTCAGATGATGTTCATTGTAGCCTTGTTATTTAGAGATAGCAAGTGAAAAAATGTGCCTTGTTTGTTGATGCTTTTCAAATATGAATTAGGGCATGGAAAATCCCTGTGAGGTATTGCATGCAAGATCTCCATTTTATGGAGGGTCTTAAATAGAGACAGGAAAGTAATTAATTAATTACTTGCATCCCATAATGATAATACTGCATCAAATATACTGAAACCTGAGGACTCCATACTGTAGATATGCATTCCAAGAGAAAATTCCTAAGCTAAATGTCTCATAATTTCACTAGACTGACAGGTAGAGAAAAGGATGTGTTGATATGACAGAAGGCAGCACGTTGTGGAGAAGTGTAACATTACATGGAAGCAGAGATGTTGCTTTTTCTTCGGCAGTGAATATGTGCAGGGCCATCTTGGATGTCTGTAAGCAGTGCTGCTTGCACTGTGTAGATGTACCCAAGTGTGAGGAGGAGGAGATATTTAGGTGACATTGGGAGTGTCTACATGTGCATTTAAGTGTGCCTAAACTTAATGCGCGTTAGCTTAATGCACATTAAGCAAGTTTAGGTAGGTGTTTACACGTGCAGGCATTTAAGTGCATTAACGCTGTTTGTGGATTGTCCCAAAGTTAGTCCCAAGTCAATCCACACACAGAGCATTTATGTGCTTTAACATGTCTACATGTGTGTTAATGCAATTAACTATTCACGCCTAAATTCACCGTTTTTAATGTGCGTTAAGGGCACACGTGTAGATGTGTTCCTTTAGCACTCATTAAAGCATCGTGTGTAGATGTGCCTACTCCTAAAGCAAGTGCATTGATACTGTGTTTCCTTTATAGTTGCTCATACTGTTATGGTCGTGGTTGGCTGCACTGTGTCCGTTGTAATGGAAGAGGCCTTTTGCTATACCATTCTGAACTTACAATCATTTGGTGAGTTGAAATCAGTGAGCCTAGGGCTTGACTGTGAGGGTGGTTTGTATTCACGGTGGCTGGCCATTTGCAAACATGTTCATAAGCCAAAACATCAACTACTGCAAACAGACATAACTCCAATGAGATCACTCCTGTTAACTCCTATGATCCTGGTATAGAAGCTATGCTGATTTTTCCCATCCAGCCATGTGGCCCAACACATTAAAGTTTCTGGTTAAGATCCTGTGCTTAAAGAGCAGGGAAGGGCTATATGATCCTCCCTGCTATCTCTCTAAGACCTAAGGAGGGGAGTACCAGTACAGATGCAGGGGCTAGGTCATGCTGCAAGAGTCTGGTGGTTTTAGTGCCTGCCTGGGATGAGGAATTTTGGGATGGGCACTGGCCAGGGTTAAGGTCTCCTGCCTGATCTGGTATGGAGAGGAGAGCTGTGGAGCTGATGAATGGGGTGCACCTCTTCTTAGAAGATGGGGATGTTGTAGTCTAGAGGTTTCTGCTACTGCCCAGACCTGTGCAAAATCTGAGTTCTCATCTCAACTCTTTGGGGTTTGTTATGTTCCAAAAGTGGTTCAGTCAGAACCCCTCTGGCTTTTAAAGAGAGCAGGTCTGTATCCTGGTAGGTTAGGTTCCAGTCCAGGATGTGGCAAAGAGAGACCTGGGTGCTGTCAAGACTGTATAGAGGGGAAAAAAACCCAGGCCTTCTCACTTCTGCAAGTGAGTAGGCTAA